TGTATATATATATATAATTGCTAAGCAGTGCGTATATATTTATATATATATATGTATATATATGTGTGTGTGCGTGTGTGAATGATTGCGCATAAAAACACGGAAAAGAAAAAAAAATTACTTAATTACTTTTTGTTGGTGATAATCCAATTATCATAATTTGTTAGTGTTGCAGAAGTGTAAATGTATTTAACATATCTCGTCAGTTAACAGGAACTTATAGTTGTGTAACACATAGTTGTATAACATATAATTGAATAGCTACTCTCGGAATCACATTTAAATAATTTTAGATAGAATCTTCAAAATCAATTTTCGGATCCGGACATTTAATGCTTTTCAATTGTTTAGCTACAATAATTTCACATTTTTCTTCTTCTTCTTTGCTAGCATAACAGCCCCTTGCAGGCCTTGGCTGTCTCAAGAACTGGCAAACGCCAGTACCTGCTATCCCTGGCAACTTCCTTCCAATTTCTAATCTTTATGGTTTTCAGGTCATTTTCGATGTCGTTGAGCCATCTAGTAGGGGGTCTACCTCTTGACGCGACCCATCGGGGTTCTTAAAAGTGACGATTCTCATGGCGCTATTTTCAGGGCTTCTCCATAGATAGCCCAGCCATCTCAGCCTATTACTGTGGATTATTTGTGTAATTTGGGATTGCTTATAGAGTCGGTAAAGCTCGACTTTACATTTTTGCAAATGTATCTTATATTAAAGGAAGAAAGAAAGTATATGAAAACTTATGAAAGTATATGACCCCAAGACAGTGTCATACCGAGCATGTGAGCAAGAATAAAAATAAAAAAAAGTGCAATAGGTCAACACGAACTGTGCCGACATTTTGAATAAATCGATAAAAATAATCTTGTAACATATAGTTAGCAGAATGTTATTTGTTAAAGAATTTCAAAAGTTTTTTTCTTTTCTTTCAGGGTGTTCAGTGTTCGTGCCCAGGATCCTAAATCTTTGAGGAGCCTCTAAATTAATTGTTCATAATTTATTTTGATTTAACTAATCCCATTTTATGCAGATGATTTATAGTCATAATAATTTTGTTTTTAGAAGTTACAAAAGATAATGAAATATATCAAAATTATTATTCATTTCAACAGTAACAGTTCCATAAACCTTTATCTTGTATATTTTTCCGCATTAAATTCTAACTAATACATAGTCTTCAATACATAATCCACAAAACTTAACCTAATACAGAATCATCAAAAAGAGGTTGATTCAATTCAACTGAATTCAATTCAGCATTTTAACTTATTTTTATTTTTCTCAAAATATACCATTATTGTTAATTTCCTGTTACTAAAGAACAGCTTAAAACATAATAAAAGGAGATTAAATTCTTTCTTTAAAAAATATTTAATCTTTTCAAATAAATGTTTATGATATCTTCTTTAGACCGAAATAAAATTGCCTGCAAAATGTTGGCCTCTAGACTTGTATTTTTAACTGAACAAAAAATGAACAGATGTAGTATTATTAATCTTTCTATTATTTAGAAATATGAATGTTGGTATTTAATTTTTCTCCAAAAAATATGATTATAGATATAATATTATTTGTACATAATGCAATCCGAATTCGCTGCCGTTTTCTAATAAGCTTCTTTATACAATATGAGCTTATTATAAATTCCGTTTTTGAAAGAAAAAGAAAAAGCTTTCTCTTTTGTGTACCTTTCCATTTTATTAATCTTTTTTTTTTCAAGTATCAATTTTTATTTTATTGTATTTTACTTTTCAAATTTTTTTATGTAATTCCTTTCAAGATAGCTTGAAGCGGATAGTTGAAATATTGAACGGGGCTTTGAAAAACATGAAAACATAATAACTCAGGGACATATTTTTCTGCGATAAAACAAAAAATGTGTCTTTGTTTAAACAATTAATTTCTGGTTTTACGTGGCTTGAGGCTCCAATATAATTTTAATGCTTGATACTAATTTAAAGATTAAAAAATTGTTTTTTTTTTCAA